GGTTACTTTTAAAATGTATTCCACTACAGATTACAGAATACATGGCCCAAAATCTGGTTTGTAACATATTCTGTTAGGTAACTCAATGTGAGTAAGGTATTCTGAATACTATTATTATTACTGAAGGCTACTCGCCACTGAGCTAACATTGTTAGCTGGCGTTAGCTGAGATTAGTTGATAGACCGCAGACTGTTAGACTTGATGGATAGCATTAACAACCTGCTAGCTGCAAATAATCATGTGCAGTTCTGAAAGCAATACCAACTAGATTTTTAAATCTTAATATAAAATGAGTAACAGTAGGCTGGACATTAGGTAAGGCTGCACTTTTTGCAGTGGTTTGGTATAGAAAACTATTTCTTTATCAGTAATATGTTTTCATTCTATCTGCTTTCAGAACTGCACATGATTATTTGCAGCTAGCAGGTTGTAATGCAGCCTTCATTAATAGTAATAAATCACACAGTAATAGTACATCGAAGATGCTGAAGTGGCACACATAGCAACCCAGGTTGCTACCACAAGTAAAACAAGGTAGTTGCTGAATGCAGGGAGCGGGACCACACCTCCATACACATCCCTTCCGGTTCTGTCTATGTATGACACCCCCTTCTAGAAATGCTGTCAAACCTAAAATAAGGGTGTGGTCGCAGCTAGTCAATGTTAGCTATATCGTTATATAGCAAAGTGCATGTGGGCAAACTAAATTTATATATGTTCAAAAATATTCCTCCACCTCAGCACTGCTGTACCTAATGACTTTTTAGGTGATTTGAGGCATTGATTGCTTATATCACAATGCATTTAATTTTTAAGGCAAACACATTTGAAATATTTAACTGAGTCGCTCTCAAAAATAAATCTTTTTTTTTTTTCTTTTTTGTGTCCCGTTTGGATCTTTAGCCATCAGAATTGTTGTCTTAAGGCCAAGAAAGATGCCAAGCGGATTTATTTTACCAAAAATAAATCTACTTGGTTGCCTCTGCTGTATGTACATATAAGTATTCCGCACCCTCTCTCTGTATATTTCTATTAATTTTCCATGTCATCAGACAAAACTGTAACACAACATCTCTACTACTTTAGACAGTGGAATACGTTTTTTTTCATTAACTTGAAGCAGTCTTTTAAACAGCCTTGATCGAGGAACAAATTGTTGCCTTATTGTCTCCTACTGAATGGAGGCACCTCACGTAGTAGCCAAACAGATTTTATGGCATTGTTAAAGGAGTAATCATGGTGGCATTTCTCACAGTGATTATTCTCTGAACTGGCCTCCCTCAGTTAGGCCTTCTTATCATTTCCAGACCCCCTTTTGAGAGCTGTTCTGTATTACACCAATTAGCACAGTGAGTCATATGTGACTGGACACTGAGCAACTCAGCCGCTTCCACTCTGTGCTATAAATTTATTTCTAGCTGTTTCACTGACAAGGTATGCTGACACTGTGCTGCTGACTGACAGGAGTAAATGTGTGTTTGTGTTCGTGTGTTGGATGGTTCAGCCTGGCATTTTATTGCGCTATTAAACGTTATTAAACATCCTTTTTTTGTTGTATTTTACTGTGTTTTAAGGATAATGCTCTTGAATTAAAAAAATACAATGTTAAGGGCTAAAGGCCCAACTCTCTTGGTTTAATGGAAAAGGAGCAGATACTAATACCCATCTCCCTGTATAAATGGACAGTAGAGGGCATGAAAAAGTCATCTACACCTTCCTGAACTCCAAATCCCTCAAACAAAGTCGATGGTCCTTCAGACCGCTCAGAGATACACAAAGTGACCCGTGACTGAGTCAAGCCACCATCTGCATCACGCTGGCATTTTGTGGGTCATTCCTCAGCGTGACAACAGGCATAGAACAGCATAATATGAGCTGAGTGGGTGATAGTGCTGCAATTCTACTCTTAATGACAACTGAGAGCGTGTATGTTTCATTGTGATAAGGGCTAAATGAAAACAGGAAAGCATGAAAGAAAATGACAATGACAATAAAGTGAGATCTGTGGGTGAAAATAACCATATTTTTGCAGGTTCCAAAAAGGTGCCACAGTGACTATGAAATCAGCTTAATGCATTTAGGATGGCCCCAGTGTTCCGATGAGCAGGTCCCTATTAGGAAGGTAATTGGTTTGGCGGATTACTCAAAAAGTTATGGACTGATTTGCATGAAAATTTACCAGAGGTCAGCCTTAGCCCAACTTCAATGTGATTAACTTTGGAATAAAATATAGTTTCAGATCTGGACTGAGTATTTTTGTGAGATAAAACTAAATTGGACATTTTGCATGATGTCTTCACATAAAATGTGGAGGAAATCCTTTTTAAAAAATGTGGAAATAGAAATGTTAAGAAGTTCACGCCTCTGAGTTTATCCTTCTTGCATCCCAACAGGAAGTTACAAGAAGCCTAAACACATCTGTCTTTAGCATGGCCTCGAATAACACAGAGACTTTATGTTTGGGTTAAAGTTAAAGATAGGTTTGCTCTCTTAGATCAGGCTGGTGGCTGCTGAACCAGAGGAATTCTGGTTATAGCTGAGGCAGATTACTGCAACAAAAATATAATGGAACGACTCAGTTAGTATGACTGTACAAGACATTTGCAGTGGATTTAATGTTTTAGGTCTCATAGTACTACCATCTGTAGGCCAGGTGAGGAAGTGCATCTGTTTCAGCTTTAATTCAGTTTTTCAATTCAATTTTATTTCTACAGCATCAAATCACAACAACAGTTGCCTCAAATTATATTGTAAGGCAGACGCTACAATAATACATGCAGAGAAAAACCCTACAATCATATGACCTCCTATGAGCAAGCACTTTGGTAACAATGGGAAGGAAAAACTCCCTTTTAACGGGAAGAAACCTCTGGCAGAATTACTCCAGATGTAACGGGACTCTTTCCAGACTTTCCAGACTGATAGATATCGGTGACTCAGCTGTTTCTTTAGA